CCACCATTCTGATTTCATTCCACCATAGGTTCTATTTCATTTCATGAAGTATTCTAATCTATTTCTTCATATTGTATGCATTATGTATGTATAAAATGTGTTTGATGTATGGAAAAAAAATTGTATAATGAATATGTGTATTGAATAAATTGAAAAAAAAGTAGGATGCAATAATGGAAAAAATGAAAAAAAGTATGATGCTATATTGTGTATTTGTATTTATAATGTGTGTTTAAGTGTATTTGTATGTATAATGTGCGTATTTATGTATGAAAAAAATCAAAGTTGGAAGTTATAATGGAATTTGTATTTATTTTATTATATGTAATTGTATGTATAGAAATTATGTATGTAGTTTGTGTGTTTGTATGCAATTGGGATGCTATAATGATATAGATGAAAAAAATGAAAAAAAATAATAATAAAAAAGTAGGATGCTATAATGGAAAGTATTATTTTTGTATATGTATTTATATGCAATTTGGAAACAACAATGCTATAGTGAAAAAAAATTTAAAAAAATAAAAACAAAGTAGGATCTATAATAGAAAGTGTATTATTTTTGTATATGCAATATGTGCAACTTTTATTCATATAATAATTTTTCAGGTTATATATGGGGTTTAGTTGGGCGATACTCTTCTATGTGATGGCGGATGTTATGGGCCTAGGATATGGAGGTGATGAAGTCGGGGATCCACCACCTTCAGTAGGCTTTGGTCGTGGACAACACGAACAAGATGGTAAGTCTTATTATGATATATTTATTAGCTATTTTTATCCATTTATTATAAGCTATCGTGACTAATATTTTTAATTATATTTTCAGCTAAGATTCCTTAAAAAAAAGAAGAGGCCTAGCAAAAAACATCCATCTATCAAAGCTGATACGGGCAAACAAGGGAAAGCCCATGGATTTGATTTCGACAGAGAGCTCACATATTCCCCTGTCGGGAACCGTGGTAATTGGTTTACCCGTGAAATTGGGAGGTATATGTGGATGAACATCCCTTTGAACGTATCTGGTTGGGACAATGTTACCCCCGCTTTAAGGAATGTCACAACGATGCATCTAAAGGTAACTTGGATAATATTTTAAGTTTAGTTGTGATTGGTATTTAATTAACTAACTCTTTTTTATTTGTAGAATAAGTTTGATTTGGACAAGGTTAAATTGGATCTGGAGCGTGCTTAGTTGTTGCAGAGCATTGATGCGACTTTACAAAGAGTTTATAGAGGCCGGAAAAATAAAGCGCATAATTTTTTTTTTCAGAATGTCTGGGGGCTTACAGGTATCCCAAGGGCATTAGCCAACCCCCTCTCCTCCCCCCCGGATGGTATGTTACGTGAATATTGGGCGCAAGCATTCAAACATTTTCAAATGCCCGGATTTTTAAAGCGTTCGGCGTCAAACAAAGGAGTCCGTGCACAACAACAAGTTGTAAACAGAGGGGGTTCGTGCTCGTATAGAAATGCATGTTTCAAAGAAGTAAGTTATGATATATTTAAATGTTTATTTAAATTATAATTAATCTAATTATTAATGTTAAATAGGACATCACACGAATCAAAGCATTTCATAAGAATAATATTGATCGTCAAGGGATATTTAGTAGTTCTGCAGTCGATCAACAATACGTAAGTGCTTATTTTGTATTTTCATATAAATGTTTATATCGTCAATGGGTATTTAGTAATCTAACTTTTATGATGTTTATCATTTTATGAAAATACAAAATGCTTTACTCTATAAGATCAATCAACAAACTCAAGCTTCTTCTGAAGCCAGCGGTCTAACACCAAAGGATACACAAAATTGTTTTGAAATGTTCGATGAGGCCATATCAAAGGCATCGGGCGTAAACCTTCTAAGGTTGTGTCGATGTACGATCAGGAACAACCACTGACACAACCATCGCCACAATCACAGGTGACAAGACTATTTAATTTTGGTAATTATTTCAAATGTTTGTAATTGTTGGTTTAGTAATAGTTTCAAATGTTGGAAATTGTTAGTTTGATAATATTTTATGTGTTGGTAATTATTAGTTTGGTATTTTGTAGTTTGGTAATTGTTAGTTTATGAAAGTACAATGCTATAATGAAAAAAATGAAAAAAAGTACAATGCTATTATGTGTTATATGCAATATGTGCAGTATGGTAATTGTTAGTCTATGAAAGTACAATGCTATAATGGTACTTTGTAGTTTGGTAATTGTTAGTTATAGTACAATGCTATAATGTGTTATATGCAATATGTGTAATTTGGTAATTTTTAGTTTATGAAAGTACAAAGCTATAATGGTATTTTGTAGGTTGGTAATTGTTAGTTATAGTAAAATGCTATAATGTGTTATATGAAATATGTGTAATTTGGTGATTGTTAGTTTATGAAAGTACAATGCTATAATGGTATCTTGTAGTTTGGTAATTGTTAGTTATTGTACAATGCAATATTTTGTAATTTGCTTGTATGTGGAATGTATATTTTGTATATAGAATGTTATAATGTTTGTTTAAGTTATAAGACTACGTTGTTTTCTTTGTAGTTGGAAATGCTTAAAACAATGTTAAAAGATCATATAGTGTCGCACTTGAAGATTGGTTTTGTTCGTAGCCACAACGAAATGAAACCGGAGGAAATGAGGAGAGCGATGATAACGAGTAGCAAGTTGTAGGATTTTTGTATGTTTTGTTTGTGTAAGTATTTTAGACTAGTATTTTCGATATATTATGTTAATTTGGATGAGTATTTTAAACGGATGTTGGATTAATATTTTGGAATGGAAGGATGCAGGATTAGATTAATTAATATCATAGCAGTTTTTATACTTTTTATACAGTTCTTTTTTTTTCAATTTTAATGTGAAATAAATAAATAAAAATACCAATACCGGCGACGCCTTTAGTGGTGACAATTGGTTATTAGCGGCAACACTACTTTAGCGGCGACGCCCACTTAATAGCGGCGACAAGCTTTTAGCGGTCACATTTTGATTATTTGTGACAAAGCATTAACGGCGGGCTTTTAGTTGCTGGTAATACTCTAATTTCTTGTAGTGACATTAAATTCAAAAAAAAAAAAAAAACATTAAGACATTTCATCAAACAGTTAATATTCATTAAAACTCATATTTTTGCAACTAACATGTACAAATGATCCTAAACCGTTAAAATTCATTAAAAATGATATGACAGCGGTTTCTGGTGTATTCAATATGAATTTGCGTATTCATATGATTTGGTTTTGTCGAAACCCTGGTCTTCAATGTCGAGGATGCTATGCACTTCTCCAAACTCGGGTCTGAAAGTAGTATTGGTGGGTGCCTTTTGCTATACATCTATATGGTCTCTTTGGAAAACACACAATTCCTGAGTTTTTAATCATCAACATAAAGTGTTTGATGAGATTCGATATCTATCCTTCAATTGGGTAAATAACAGAGGCAGTAGATTCAAACCTGCAATGGAAAACTGTGCAATTGATCCTGGGGAGCGGGGGTTGTCTGGTGCTTAAAATTCATGTTGGTGTTGGCGTTTTCACAGCCTTTGCAGATTGAATCGGTAACTGTTTTCCACGGTGTTGAATTGGCGAAGCCATAGTTACTATCCATGAGAGTTTCATGTTGAGATAAGTTCTTGGTGAAGATAAAAATTTACTCTTGTGTAATTGCTGAGCTTTATGGTGTTGTACAACGTACATACCTGCTGTGAGATGGCTTCCCGATTTCACCGTTTCCATTCAACTTTTGACTATTTTGCCCCTGGTGTTGCTTTGGTCAAAATTCAATTTCTGGTGCTGCTACATAGATGCTGTGAGATGGCTTTCTCCAGCTTTTCGATTCAACTTTTGACCATTTTGCCCCTGTTGTTGCTCTGGTGAAATTCAACCATTTTTTAGTGTGCTGCCCTTGCTTTCATCTCAAAGCAAACTTCATGTGCACAATTCTTTCATATCATCGCTTATAGTTTTCTTGTTGTTGCTTCGTTTCAAGACTTAATTCCTACTTTCTTTTGGCTGCTGAATTAGTCTAATTCAGCACCTAAAAGAAAAAAGAAATTAAGTCTTGATAGGTATGTTTGCTTTTGGAATGAAAGTTTTATTAAAATTACTTGGAAAACAAAAATATATGTCTAACAATTTAATCGAAGTTATATTGCATTTTTTATTCCAACAAAAAATCTGTAGCGAATTCTGTCACTAATATGTGAAGAGAAGGACCACAAGAGAAAGAATTTATCACAAAATGGGATGTGCATATGAATTCTAAAGATTTGTGTAAACTAATCAGTTGTAGAAATATGAGAAACAAACAATAACCTATCTTGTATTTCACTTTTTATTTTACTATCTTCATTTTTATGTCTATGCAAGTATGAAACCTTTTAGTCGTTTTTGGAGGATATAAAAGAGATTAACAGATGAAATAAATGCAGGGAACAATAAGAACCATCAGTTCTTATTTAAATATCTTCATATTTATATTCTTTTCCAGTTTTCCCTCATTCACACCTTCAATGAACACACCATGTCCATTTGTTTTTTAGATTCTTTTAAAGGACTGTTATGTTATGTCCCATCTCCATTGACCCATTCACATAGTTTTCATGTGGAACATCTATATAATACTCTCAGTTACAGAACTAATTATGCAGTAAAACACAGTTGGAGTAAAATTTCAATTAGCATTTATCAGAAAATAAAAATAAATATATATAAATAATCAAGTTAAATTATTATTACATTATCAAATGCAACAATAACATGTAATACCGCATGGATTCTAAAAAAAGGATTAATGTCATCATAGATAGATACAATTAAAAGTGCAATGCACACCTTTGTGGAAAATTTTGACACGTTAAAAGACACGCCTAGTGCAAATATATGACATTTCCCAAATTTCCTTTTCAAGCACGTGAAAAAGAAAACAAGTGAACAACATAGCTCAAGTATAAATTACAACATCAGAACCATTCCTTTTTATTTGAAAGAAAGATGGCAAAGCAAATAATGTCTTCTTCAAACTTGTTATTTTTCTCTCTGGCTCTAGTTATTATCACTTTCTTCCCCATACCACATTACACTTCTGCTTCTTTCGAGGAATTCAATGCTCTTCTTAAATGGAAAGCAAGCATTGAAATCCCAAAAAACTCCTTGCTCTCTTCATGGATTCCACTCCCTTTGAACTCCGGTGCATCAGTTCCTTGCACTTCTTGGTTTGGAGTAGTTTGCAAATCTGATGGGAGCATTGAGAAGTTAAACCTCACATCATCTAGATTAAAGGGTACGCTTCATCGATTTTCAATCTCTTTGCTACCAAATCTTGTACATTTTAATCTCAGTCTAAATAATTTCTTTGGCCCCATCCCACCAGAAATAAGACACTTGTCCAAACTTGTATATCTTGATTTTTCTTTCAATAAGTTTTCTGGAGTAATCCCACATGAAATAGGAAACCTGCTCCAACTAACAGTCTTGTACTTATTCTCAAACAATATCTCTTGTCCCATTCCGATTGAACTTAAGAATTTAAAGTCTCTCACTCATCTTGTGGCGTACAACAATCAACTTAGTGGTTCTATTGCTTCATCGTTGGGTGATTTGACATCTTTGAATATCCTTTATTTGTACCAAAATCAACTCTCTGATTCCAGTTGAACTTGGGAATTTGAAGTCTCTCACTGATCTTGAGGCGAGTAGCAATCAACTTAGTGGTTCTATTCCTTCATCATTGGGTAATTTGACATCTTTAAATATCGTTTACTTGTTCAAAAACAACTATCTGGTCCCATTCCTATTGAGCTTGAGAATTTGAAGTCTCTCACTCATCTTGAGCTGAGCAACAATGAGCTTAGTGGTTCCATTCCTTCATCATTGGGTAATTTGACATCTTTGAATGTCCTTTATTTGTTCCAAAATCAACTCTCTGGTCCCATTCCTATGGAACTTGGGAATTTGAAGTCTCTCACTCATCTTGCGGTGCACAATAATCAACTTATGTAACTCCTGGTACGCATTTAATTATAATTTATTCATTTTTGAAGATCTACTCGACGAATTGGGAGCCCCAGACTCGTCGAGTAGAAACGAGATTGGATGCGAGATCTTAAGCCACGTACCCGCCGAGTTAAGAGCCTCGACTCGGCGAGTAGGTCTGCCAGAATGAAACCCTAATTTCGGGGTTTTGCACTCTATTTAAGCATCTTAATTCCCACTTGCTGGCCTCATTTCCAGCCTCCCAGTCTCAAACCATAATCCACAAAACCCTAGACCTTTGTGTGAGCTTGTGAGCCATTTTTAAGTGAACTTTGGATGATTTGAAGCTTGTAGAAGAAGAAGAAGCTAAAGGATTCCAGGAGAAGATTGTAGATCTAGAAGCAACTTCTCATCCTGTTCATTTTCTGGTAAGCAAGTCTCAACCTTGCTTAATAGCTTGTTAGATCTCTCTTTGTCAATTTATTGGGTTTTTGGGTCCAAGAAGCTTGACCCTTGGGATATGGACGTCCCAAGCAAGGATTCCTTCTGGAATCATTAAGGGTTGTTATGGCATAAAGGTGCAAACTTTATGCCATTGGAGCCCCCATGCAAGCTCTAAGGTGTTATTTTGGCATTTTTAGCCCCAAAAAGCCATGCATGGAAGGAAATTTAGGAGTTTTACGTGTTCAAATGATGTCTAAGGCCTAAATCTATGTTAGTATGTTTTAGTTTGGAGTATTATGGCTTTTGGACCAAGATCTATGTTCTAGAGAGCTAGGGTTTGAGTTAAACCCATTAAGAAGAACTAATAACAGGTAAAGTTGGAAACTTTACCCTTAAAAGTGTGTTTCCAGTATGTAGATGAAGTATGGAGTTGTACTTAAAAGTGTGTCTCCATATTCTTTACCACCTTCAAAGTCCTGCTGAAAAAAATAAAAAACAGGCTTTGTGATATTTGTGGGTTTTCAAAAAATTTTAGGTATGTGTTTCATTGCTCCACTGATCGAAATATAGGCCTACAATATAATTAATTTAAGGGGAAAAGCATCAGTTGGTTAATTAAAAGAAACGACTTCGATTTGATTATCACAATTTCTTTGTTTGTCAAAAATTTGTATCCAATGCTTTTAACCTTACTAACGATTAGCTTCCACACCTTTCATATTGGCAGCTGCAAGAATCTAAACATGAGCCACGATGGATATAGGAGAGTAGATAAAGAGCCATTTAATGTCATGAAAAATCTGAGCCACTTTTATACTGGAGAATAACTCTTACATTGTCACATTGTCTACTTTATAATGCCACTCTCTTTGTTCTAACTTCACTTCCATCAACAACTATTACCTGTTCAAGAATCCATTCAGTTAAAAATACCAAATGCCGACTACAAAATATCCACATAATCATACGCATTTAGACATGAAATTACATAAAACTTGGATCCTCCCCTAAACAGTAAAATAAAGTAAATAACAATATTACTGGTCGGTAAGTAATATAATCTGATAAATGGGTAATATTACAAAAATATATTAAGCTATAATAAAAAGAAAATTTCAACTCTAGAACTATTACTGCTCATAAGCCTTATTCAGAATTAACATATAAAGTACCGTTTTTTTGGACAAAATGGACCTCTGCTGTCTGAGACAGCACACACAAAACATCGTGCTGGGATGTTTCCGTCTCATCAAGTACATAAAAACTGAAAAAATTATTATATATATATATATATATATATATAATATATATATATATATATATATATATATATATATATAGAGAGAGAGAGAGAGAGAGAGAGTTAGGTTCAAGTGTTTCTAAAAACTATTGTGTGCCTCTTAGGACCAATCAAAATTCAGGAAATATTAAATAATTAATAAATTGTTTTGGGGGTATAATAGTAATCTTTACTTATTTAATTTTAGTAATTATTGAAAACATTTAATACACCTTTTAAATAAGGGAAATCAATTTAAAACCCTACAAATCACCCCCCAGTTCATTGCATCGACATACCTCTGCCTCATCCATCTGTCGACTCCTTCCTGTCCACGACAACAACCCTTCGCAGCTGCCTCGTTTCTGTCGGTCCTCCACCTGCCGCCGCCGTTGATCGTTTCCATCTGTCGACTCCTTCCAACATGAACCGAAGTTGTTGCCATCTCCAACCAACCTCTCTTCTTCCTTCTATTTTTGATGATAGACCGACCCAATCACCGCCATGGCCAGTTGAAGCAACCCGCGATCCTAAGCAAGCCCTGTCGGCACAGTTCACAGAAGAAGAAGGAGCAGCGGCCCTCACCGGTTCTCCTCCCTGCCTCCAGTTTATCTGTCTCTCAAACAACTCCAGTTTATCTGTCTCTCAAACAACTCCCAGTCACTTTTTCCTTGCTTCTCCATCGACCTCAGGTAGTTCTTTCCTTATCTGATCAAAATTCACTTGAAAAACCACCAAAACAGTCGACACCACCATGGAGGCCGGTGACACGGATTGTTCCGGCGAGATGGTCTGGTGTGAGCTGTTGATCTTAAGCAGATTTAGACAGTTCCTTAATCAGTTATTTTCATTTTTTAGTGTTTAGATCAGCTCGAAAGACTCTCGGTGCAAGACCCACTTACAACTCAATCTCGTGACTTCCCGACACTTCCCAATTCTCACATCAAAAAGTGAATTCTATGGCACCTGATTTCTAATCGTTGCTAAATTTTGAAATCAGCAATCGCTAAATCGGCGTCACCATTCTTTTTACTGTGATTTCTAAAATTCAGAAGGCATCTGATTATTTCCCGCCAATTGTTTGTTAAAATGCTTGAATCAAATATTTCATCCATTCATTTGCACATGATGTCCATTGATAAGTATTTATACCTATTTGGAAATTAGAATATGTAGTTTTGATAATCTGGTATGGTGTTGGCCTAATGACGTCTTTATATTTCTCTATTTTGACTTTGCTTATCATTAGTTAATCCATAAACATGATGTCTACTGATAAGTATTTATACCAATTTGAAAATTAGCCCATGTAGTTTTAATCTAGTCTGGTGTTGGTCTAATAAGGTGTTTATTTTCTTTATTTTGACTTTGCTTATGATTAGTAATTCCATAAACATGATCATTTAATTTTCTTATGATTAGTTATTTCACACTCTTGATAATACAAATTCTTTAAGAATATTCAAAACCATTATGTCAGAATTTATTTATATAAATCCATTCTTTCAGAGTGTTTGTACTCTAGCAACATGTATTTTATGTATTCTGCCAAAATTTATAAAACAAATCTTATCAATAATATTATTTTAGAACGGGTTAGTGTTTTTATTAGATTTTAATGGTTTTTTTTTTCTTTTTAGGTTTTGAAGAGTTTGTCATTTATGTGGAAAGAAAGAAAATATGGAGAACAAGAGTGTCTTATAGTAGAATGTATTCCGAATGTATAAAATGAATATTAGCAACATTATTCTTTCGGAATGAATTAGTGTTTTTTGTTGGATTTTGGTGTTTTTGTTGCATTTGTGATAGGAATGACTTGAAGACCTTATACGAATGATGTGAAGAATGATCATACTCACAGTTTAAGAATGTCGTTGTGTTTTGCAGAATTACACTTGTTATTCTTTCAGAATGTTGTTATTATTCAAGAATGTTCTTTTTGTATCACAATCATAAAATATAATTCTTTGATATATTATTAGTTAAAGAATCAATTTTGTATATTGTTTCATAATGTACTTATTCATGTTTCTTCTTATTTATGTATTTTTAAAGGATGTCATAAACTGTTATTCTAACCGAATGTCATTCTAACAGAATCGCATTCTGACAGAATAAAATAAGTTATAATCGGTTATGATTACAAATTAAATTAGAATTGAAACTAAATTAATTTAAAAAAAAATCAGAATTATCCCTTCAAATTCGAAAATTTCCTTGTTTAAATATAGTTAATTGTCTAAAATATCATTTTAATTAAATTTGAGTGATATTATGGTACATGATATTCCATTGTAATATCATAGATCCTCAAAATCATAGCTATTCATTATTTTCATCTATTGGTCCAGAATTCTCCTTACATGCACACAATAGTTACCTAAAACAAAATAACCTAACCTTATATATATATATATATATATATAATATATATATATATATATATATATATATATATATATATATATATATAGGGTTAGGTTATTTTGTTTCTAGTAACTATTATGTGCCAGAATGCACAGATCTGGACCATCGGATGGAATATAATCAAAGGTAATGATTTGAGGGTCTATGATAGTAGAATAGGATAACATATACCATATAATCACACAAATTCCAGCATAAGGGCATTTTAGTCAATTAACCTATATTAAAAAAGGAAATTTTCGGATTTTTAGGGATAATTAATTCCTTTATTTTTAAAAATCTGAATATTTTAAATTAATTCAAAATTAGAAATTCGATTTTATTCTATCAGAATGGTTGAATGTTAACCATAAACTAGTAAATATATTCGTCGATTATATTCTGTCAGAATGACAAAATGCCAACCATAAACTACTAATACATACTAAAAAGAAGACACAAAATCAATTCTTGAACTAATAATATCCAAATAATTACATTGTATGATTATGATTCATTGAATAATAACAACATGCTGAAAGAAAAGATAAAAAAAACATCACAATCTAACAAAAACACTAATCTATTCTAATAGAATATTATTTTTTAGCAACACTTTATACATTGTAGCATAACACATTCTGGTATAATACACTCCCGTTCTCTATGTTTTCTTCCTTCTCCACATCAATGTTAGCCTCTTCAAAACCTAAATCCACAAAGAAAACATAATCAAGTTTCAAAAATTAAAAAAATTCAATGCATTCTAAGAGAATAAAAACTATAAATTCTGACAGAATGTACTTGTTGTTGACAATTATTCTCAAACAGTCTAACAGAATATATCTATATAAAATAAATTCTAATAGAATACATTACATAATTCAAGAGCTATGATTGAATACAGAATTCAATAGCTGTGATTGAATCATCAACACGCATATGCATTCATTCCCAGTAAACACTAGAGTATGTATTCATAATTCACAGCAAGATAAAGAAGAAGATGAAAATGAACAGAAAAGAAACGAATTTGGAATACCTGGCTAGAAGAAGGCTTGCGTCAACACACATCTGCATTCGTTCCCAGTCAAGAACACAAGAAACAAACACCCATGAATTCCCCTGTCAAATACCAAAACCCAAACAAACCATGAGTTATGTTCAAACAATCAAACCCATATCCCTTTCATTATCATCAATTTTTCCAGGAAAACCCAAACACAAATTCTTTCCTTTGATTTCTATCAAGCAATCAAACAAAAACAAAAAGAAGAAAAAGAATTTTCTTTTACCTGTTGGCATAGTTCACCGGAGAAGAAGAAGCAGCGATCCACGAGCACCACAGAACCACCCTTGTGACTGCTTCCCACCAAGTTCCTCTTCTCGAGCAGACAAAGACAGAGGACCGAAGTCCTTTCTCCCCCTTCGTGAGTGGATACCGATCGAACCAGAAAAGAAAAGAGATCGCCGACGCAGCCCTTCCTGCTGGCTATCCCTCCATCGGCGGAGCTGCTTCGCCAACTCCGATACCCCACCTCAGTTTGCATCTTTAATTTGGTTTCTTCCCCGATCAACTGAAGACGAAGACCTCGACTTCTTCGCAGCCTTTTCCCTTTGGCCTCGTCGACATAACTAGGTTGATGGCGATGGTGTTGATGCCGATGATGAAGTGTTCAGCCACAAACATAACTAGGTCAAATATATTTAGTTTAATTCCTTAATTGAATGATTAGTTTATTTCCTTAATTGAATGATTTCAATTAAATAATTTCCTTAAATAAAAGTACAAAAGGTCCAAAATACCCTTTAATGATTTAGTTAATTATTTATTATTTCTTGAATTCTCATTGGTGCATTTAGGCGCACAATAGTTGCTTAAAACATTTGAACCTAACTCTTATATATATATATATATATATATATATATATATATATATATATATATATATATATATATATATATACAGAGAGAGAGAGAGAGAGAGATAGGTTCAGGTGTTTAAAGTAATTATTGTATTATTGTATGAATAAGTGTAGGCCAATCATTTCAAAAGGGTAAATATGTAATCTTACATTTAATTAATTATGGTAAATATATAAATCAATTAATATCCCTTTAATTTAGGAGTATCAGTTTTAAAACCCAATTTATAGTATAAATCAAAATAAAATACACCTAACCCTTTTTCTCTCTCATGTTCTTCATTTCTTCTTCAAAACTCTCATTTCTCTCAAATCCGCCATCTCCTACTACCCACAAATCTGTCATCCTTGAGACCAATGAGATCTATTAGTGTTCCATCGGCACCGATGTTCAGAAAATTTCCACTTTCCGAATACGCTGACCATCCGACAAGCATGGCAGCGAACATATATGGCGAGATATCTATTGTTTGTAGAGGTGGCCACGACGAAGGGGTCCAGGTTCGAACGACGCAAGGGTTTTAGGAATGTCCCTCTCTCTCGGTTCATCGCCCTTAAGCATGACGACGACACTGATCTGGGTTTTGTTCAAAGATGAAGGAAGGCAGAAATAGGGTTTTTGTCGGTGACGACGACTGATGTAGGATCCATCATCCACAACGGGATTTTTCGCTTCAGGCTTGTGTTAGAGATCGTCGGTCGTTGGAAAACCTAGTCGACGACATGCTACTTATTTCACCATCGATTGTGCCTCCAACACTGCACGACTGTTGCTGCCTCCATCACAGGAAAGAATCGACATTAGCAATATTCATTTTGGGTAATTTTCTTTGTTCAATGAAATGGTATTTTGATTTAATCGATTATTTGTACTTCATTTTGGGTAATCGACTTTGTGAACTCTATTTCTGAAACCGCTTATTACAATCTGTTTGAACCGATTTCTTTACAAGTTATTTGAATTGATTCTGATTTTGCAATAAAGTTTTTTTTTTCTTTTTTGACTTCGATTTCTTTGCATTTTTGTAGGGATAACCCTATCTCAAAACGCTTTCATATATTCTTTTTTCATGCCTTTATATATAACAGATGACACCGTCTTCTTGGTTTATTTCTAAAACCACTATTCGCTATCCTAATTTCTTCTTTATTAAGTTAGAAGTTATATTTTCCCTTTTCTTGATTACAGGCCACATGTACGCGGATCTATTTCTTCCTGTATTTAATTTGTAGGTATAAATCATATCTCCTGGCAACATTGGTGAAGTTAATATGTTAAACGTAGGGGTTAGGTTGGGTAGGAGTGTTTTTTCGTTTATAGTATTCTATCAGAAACGAATGTTTTTTATGATAATCATGAACATATTCTGTTACAATTCCCCGAATTAATATAATTATGGGTAAATAAATTTCAATTCTATCAGAATGGAATCACGAATTCCAATTATGTTGGAATGGAATATGGATATTTTCTCACTAATTTATTCATTTGATTTGTTTCTACAGAAGCTGATGGTTAAAGAACGGACCACAAAATTTGAGCGACACCTCTTAGCAACATTATTCTTTTAAGATGTATTAGTGCTTTTGTTAGATTTTGATGTTTTTTTTCCAGATTTGAAAGTTTTTTTAGTTTTATTCTTTAACAATAAATGTAATTCTTAGCAATTGTTACATTTATTCTATAAGAATTAATGTAATTTTTGTTTTAATTCTTCAATTGATGGTTCGAGAATTTTGTTATTCTACAAGAAATTTTTAAAGTCATGATCAAGAATATTTTTATTATTTTATGGTTCAAGAATACTTTTATTTTTTGAACATACTTAAACATATTCTGTGAGAATGTCCGAATAAAAAAGCTTATAATTCGTAAAATCGGATTTTTAAAATTAACAGGATCTATGATCCCTTAAAATATGCAAATTTCCTTTATTAAATCTATGTCAATTGTCTAAAATACCCTTCTAGTTAAATTAGATGGTATTTTTCAATTATATTTAATTCAATAATAGGTATTAATCACTTTCTTAAAATAAGTAAAATAATTGGCCCACATTTATGCATATATATATATATATAGATATATATATATATATATATTATATATATATATATATATATAATATATAATATATATCTATATATATAATATAGGTTAGGATTAAATATGAAGTGCAAGTATTGTATGATTGTGTGACTAGATTTGGACCCTTGGATTTTTATTGTTTATTGGCTAAGATTGCTATGGTATACCATAGTTATTGTGTCATGAATCACACATTAACAATACTGTATTTTAAAAAAACTTGTATCTAAGGACATTATAGACATTTTAATTCAGCACCAGATAAGGAAACTGCTATTATTCAGGAAGTTACAATTCACTTTTTGTTCAAATCCATATCAGCTAACTAGTTTTTTTTAAACGTTGTTTCAAATCATATAACCATGAACACATATAGTCCTTTCATTTTTAAAGAATCTGACTACAAATCAAGTATTTGTTTTAGAATTGACATTTTAAAGAATACATATGTACATATTTTTATATAATAACAATTTGCATCAAGAATAAGACTATGTGAGAATATTATCGTTCTTTGTATTCTTTAGATCATATTTTGTAAGAATAAGAATGAGTGATAATGGATGGTTAAGAATGAGAATGAGTAAGAATGCATAAGAATGAATGAGAATGTGTGAAAATGACAAACAATTCTATGACAGTGAACTTTTTTTCTCATTATGCAACTGAAGTATTCTTGAAGAATTTATGCATTTTTTGAAGAATATATAGAACATTTAAAAAGAATACACACAACCTTTTATACTACATTCTTTATGAACTTATTTGTAATATATACTACATTCTTTGTATAATATACATAATTCTTGATGAACATATAAAAAAACGTATGACATATATTGTATTCTTTAAGAATCTCTTTGTCGAAAGGGGAAAACCCAACATTCTTTTCCAACGCGCATCACTTTTTATCATCTTTGTCCATCTTCAAACAACCAACACTATCTGCAACATTCTTGAACCATCGGTCTTTTTTTAGCCTTTTATTTTTGAAGAATACGATGGTTTCAATATTTCTTTCTTAAAGAATAACCTACATTACAACCATTAAAAAAGGAAATATCATAGATCAGTTTTTACTATTTGGCACTCTTAAGCGGAGTTCTAAGCCATTGGAATTCCAAGCATTGTAATAGCTTTGGGAATATTGAAAAGCTAAATGGATGTTTCATGATAGCCTTACCTGATATTTGCAACCTGGTGCAAGAAGATTCTCACAGGATCCACCAAATGAAGAGCTAAATATTTCTTGAGAAGGACCAACATTTAGACAATACACCTGCATTTCATGTGCAATTTATACATGCATATTGAACAATATATCTTCATCCAAGAACTTATCCCTATAATTTCAAGGTAGATAAAAAAAGGAAATGCTAAACATCCACAAATTGGAATTCAAAATATCAAAAAACATGCACAGTTGGAATCCATTTCAAAATGTCAAAATATCATATACATTTTCATCATCATGTTCATGTTTGTTTCCATCTGCCCATCTACATAATCATCTCCGATAATATCCTCCATTCGGGGTTTTGTCTGTTCAATATTTCATTCAAGAAACTAAGAAGCCATGAACAGTTAGAAATATGTTAGAATATTATTTATATATATGCATTCTGTTAGAATGTCTTTTGAGAATGTTTGTTAACAACAAGTATATTTGTTTAACTGGTAATACTAACAAGTAATGTATCTTATTCTTTCATAATTGCATGGAGAAGGAATTCAATATTGATAATACAAGAGAAATATTTGGAATCGAGTTCAACAAGTATATATGCGAAGATCAAGTGGATTATATGGACCACTGAGAAGATCAAATGTAGTTGTTCAATAATTGTATATTCAAGAATGCTATTTGTTAAGAATTTTATTCATTTTTGATGATATTCTGTTAGAATATGTACAAATATATTAAAATGTATAAGGATATTAGTCTGTAAAATGTGTATGAATTTGTATTTTGTTTCAGATGTGTATTAAGAATAAAATCATAGACCCAACTTGGATGTATATGAATAAAATCGAAATATATTCTGCTAGAATAAAATCGAAAATATATTTACTAGTTTATGGTTGGCATTCTGTCATTCTGACAGAATAAAATCGGATTTTTAAATTTGAATTAATTTAAATTATTGAGATTTTTAAAAATAAAGGAATTAATTATCCCTAAAAATCCGAAAATTTCCTTTTTTTAATATAGTTTAGTTGACTAAAATGCCCTTATGCTGAAATTTGTGTGATTATATGATACATGTTACCCTATTGTAATATCATAGACCATCAGATCATGACCTTTGATTCTATTCCATCCGATGGTCCAGATCTGTGCATTGAGGCACACAATAGTTAGTAAAAACAAAATAACCTAAGCCTATATATATAGGGTGAGGTTCAATAGAGAACCATAATTAACCAAACAACAAAGGAACCAATCTTTTTTTCAACTTTTAGAACTTATTTTTTATCAAAAAAAAAAAACTAAAAATACAGAAATTCATAACTTTTTATCCTTTTTCGAATGAT